TACGTTACACGAATCGAAAGGAAACAAATTAAAATCGTCTGCATATAAAAATACTGAATTACACAAATTAAAATCTTTTTAGAATTATACAAGTACACGACTAGTGTCTTCTAATTGAACAAAACGGTATTTTTTTCTTTATAATTTCATTTGACTTTCGGTTGGCTGCAGATGAGTGATGACATCATTGAATCAAGTATTTAGTGGCTGTATGTTATTGAAGCGTTGGTCAAGTATGTTCATTGTCACTGTGTCAATTTTTTCGTTATATTATTATCATGTACTTTTTTTTTTGTCTAAAGAAGACGATTTTTAATTATATTGTGTGCAGGAACAATCGAACATGGTCTTCTGAAACAAACGTCGTCCTAGTTTTACAATTCCACCGCGACTATGTCCATTCCAACGGTAATAAAAATTACTGTCCTTTTTTACTTACTAAATATGAAGTTGTTATTATTTTTATGGACACGTTACACTTAACGCCTCAGTAATTTTTGGTTTATTTTTTAACAATTTTTTACTTAAATCCGAGATATATATATATATATATATATATGATATTATTTTTTAAATATTAAATTATATGATATTTCAAAATATGGTCCATGATTTGCAACAAATAAATAAAAAAAACTTATCATCTTGGTCTAGACTTTTTTATGATGAATGCAGAGCGTAGGCGGTGGAATGTGTACGTGTCGATAAAAGCGGCGTCATAAATATTATATCTATATTATGCACATAATTTATTATAATAAATTCTAGGTAGTAAAGTTCCGTATTCTATCCATTTTTTTCTGTTGTCAGTGATAAAACATATTTTATATTTTATGTGTTTTCCGTTAAATCGAGCAAACCGTTAATAGGATAAAAACAAATGTACTTCGCAGCACTGGAATGGATTCATCCGGAAATCTATAGTGGAGCACGCATACGCCGCCAAGTCGMGGCTAAATAATCAGTCAACCTCGCCGAACATTATAGGAAAAATTAACGGAGCTAATTATAATAAAAACTTATAAGTTMGTTAAACTCGTTGGTTTACGGTTTCGAGTGTGGTGAGTGGTGACATAAAAGAATAAAATATAATTGTGATCATTGAGATCGATGACGRGTTTCAATCATAGCACTCACTCGGTTATAGGCCGAATGACAARTAGCATACATACATCGCAAATCGCAATAATGGATTCACAACTCGAGTTCATACGTTTTACTCCCAATACGTCATTCTTAAAATATTAAATTGCAAAACCCCTACATGCTGTGTGTTACAATAAAGCGATTACAATTTGTGTGTATTTAATTATGCATACCTATTACCTATACGAATAGCCAAAAATAATTCATCGTCCATTGGACTACAATATAGTACATTGATATAATCAATGAATAAAGGTATTTAGAGTGCATTTACAGCATGCGGCTCCTCAACATGCAGTCTGTGGCACTTAGGAAAATGCATCAATACCTAAACGCATAAAATATAAATTAAAACTTGATTACAGTTTTTGTTTAACTTACAGTATAGTTTATTACACATGTTTCATTTTTATTTTCAAACATTTTCAAATTTGAATTTTATTACAAACAAATTTATAAACCAACTGAATGATATCAGCATTGATACTTGTTTGGAATTGAAAATTACATATTAGTGATATTACTCTCTAGATTTGAATTTTGAATAAACTGACCGCAGAAATTCAGATAAGTAAATAAATAAATAAATAAAGATAAGTTTTCTTTTATGGATAATTGTGTATTTTATTTTAAACTTAATTTTAAAAACAAACATGTGTAATTTATTAATTACAATAAGCCTAGCTGTTTACAATGTTTACATATTATATACATTTATTGATTACATATATATGAAACACGTGAGAAAAGTTTCCACCCAATAACAACATTTTACTTTGGGGTTTTATTGGTTTAATTTTAAATATGAATTATATATAAATATATATTTTAATGATTTAGATCTAGACATCTCTTTAACCTGCGAGGAGGATTCCCAAGAATGCGAAATAGGACATTTTGACGTGGCCGTTATGGTGTAATGTCTCAGCCTCTCAAGTTATTATATTAATTAATTTACTAAATTTCTATTTAACCATTATAATATATTTTTATTTTTATTGTTTAATAGTATTTATTGTATACTTGCGTATTATTGGAATTTAATGATAAGTTTATATTACTATGCTGTACTTGTGCCCTATGGGTTTTTAATTATAGTTAAAATTAACCAGTTGACCAATCGAAACGTATACTATATCGATTAGCTCGATTAACTACGTTTTTAGAGATACGTTTAATATAATAAAGTATCCGTTGTCGTTTCTTTTCTGCCGTGCGATAAGTTTATTATTTTTTGCGCTTTAATATTGCTAGCTACCTAGATACAGCATAAATATTTCATACAAATAGTGAGTTTTTTAGTTATTTAAATCTTTTACACGAGTAGTGAGTTTTGTTAGATTATTTATTTATAATGTCAAAATATTAATTGAATCCACGAAAAAACGAGATGTCTTAGTGTATAATAGTTTTATGTATTTATTTGATGCCTTAAGTAGTGATGGTAAACGTAGTTTTTGACGTTGCCGAAATAAAAGTGAATGTAAAGCTCTGGTGCACACAATAGTAGACGATATTTAAATAATAAAATCAATAAATGAACACACTCATGATTCTGAAGTATCAAAAATCGAAGTTAATGTAGCAGTTAACCGTATAAAATGACGTGTAGCTGAAACCACGGAATCCACATCAAATGTCACAAATGAATGTCTGGTCAGATTATCGGAAGCAGCTAAAGTAGGTGTAATTATAATTAAGTACTAATAATATATATATTATTGAATATGGTAACTCAGGTTGTACTTTAAATTAAATTAAATAAGTCTKMATTATATTAATTTTAATTTTACTTTATTTCGCCTGTCATTTCGGTGCACCGAAAACCGATATTCGGACCTTTCTTATTTCACATAACATTTTATACACATAATCTTTTTATTTCCTAATTATATATAGGTACAACTATCTTAAATATTATGCAACAATTATCTAGTAAAATATTTTACAATTCGCTATTTAAGATGATATGATACATCTCAAACGGAAATTAATTGTGATAGTTTAGTGGTTAAGGTGTGCGCGTCAAAGTTAACAGATAAAGGTTCGACACTAGCCAATTTCAAAGAAAAATGTTGGGTTCGAAAATTAACACTGGTATAAGGGAATTCAGGTGGTTTGTTAATCGAGAGCGGAAGCGTTTGTATAGTTAAAGTATACCTTTATGGTTTCTTCTTTTGTGTTTAATTTTATTTTACAGACTGGGGAGTGTATTATTTGATATATATTGTATGGTACATTTTGTAAATATGAAGAGTTTTGATTGGAAAGTTCAAATTTTGTTTATTTTTGATTTTTTAGCCACCCTCGTAGTTGAATATAGTGTGTCATTAAATAATATAATATCATATTTGTATAATCAATAATAATACCTAGTAAAGAAATGATGTAGGTATATATTAAAATTATGTATTAATGAAATAAAGTTTTCCTAAATTTAATTCGTATTTATAATCCTGGATCCCAAGTACCTATATGTAGTATATACTAACAAACAGTGGCAAAACATCAATGAAAAAACTTAAGAGGACGTGATTCCCGCATGTGTTGTCTCTGTCTTACAAGTGCAATATATAGTAAATTTTACGTTCAGCAGAACACATGTAGCTCCGTTTGCTTAAAAATTAGAGTGAATTGACCTCTCATAAAATTTAAAGGTATGATTGTTATCTAGTCAACCTCATATGCTTTTTATTATATTTAAATTTTAAAGGAAGTTATGAGTATTTTAAGATGTACAAAAAATGTACAATTTTAAAATACTCATAATACTCGCTTTAAATTTGATATAAAATAAAAAGCATATGAGGTTGTTTAGATAATAATCTTACCTTTAAATTTTATAAGAGGTCAGTTCACTCTAATTTTTAAGTTAACGGAGCTACACGTGTTCTGCTAAGCGAAAAATACGCATTTGTAAGACGGAGACAACACATGCGGGTATCACGTCCTCTTAAGGGGACGCTGAAGCTCCTTATTTTTACAGTTAGTCCTCTATAATTGCATATATTAGGAGGGTGCTTATTAGTGGATGTTAATCAATTTCAAATCCTCCCTCTTAATTGTATCTATATACATGATTTATGAAAAATATAACATATTATAATTTTAAAAATTATTTACGAACATATACAATAGCAGCAATATTAATAGCTATATCACAGGATTGGTTAAGTGATATTATATTATATTATTAATTTATAATTATTAAATATAATTAAATTTTGTTCAACACGTTTAGATGTATTAGATTTATTGTAAGTATTAAAAAAAACCAGATATGATTTTATACACTRTAATAATATATGTCTTTACCACATTCCACGTTAAATATATTATAATAATATATACAAACAGTGACGATAATAATGTAAAGAATTCTGATTTCCAATAACCATCGCACCGATTTGAAATCATGTGACACGATTTTTACTACACAATCGATTTGGTTCAATTAATTCCACCGCCCAATATTATATATTGGCAATATACCCATAATATACATGCATACGAAAAATTATATAGTTTGACCCAAATAACTTTTTATCATATATTATGCACTGCATATATAGTAATATTACACGTTTTATTATATTGTCATCGTCGGCGRTGCAGAAGACGTGAAAAAAAAACATATCTGTCCGCCCGTCCGCGGCTGTCGTCAAGAAACACATCGTTAAATTAATATTTATAAAAAGTATCGTGAAAAAAAAAAAATAAAAATGTTTGCGGCGCTCGTCGCCGATATCATTATACACTTGGAAAACCACGGCGTGTCGGTGTATTGTGCGGGTGGGGAGGGTCCGGGCGACGGCGTTGTTGTAGTGCTCGCCTGGACGACTGTTCATCGGCACAGTCGTCCGGTAACGATATCACGTGGAACAATTGCGCGGGAGTTCCGATACTTGAGCCGCCGTCATTATAGTATACCTGTTTATATTGTAGTCTATATTGTAGTGTACACGCGGTTTTTATTTTTTCTCTTATGCTTATCCAAATCGTTCATCAATACGAGTAAAACACATATTGTATTATATTATAATAAAATAGAATTCAATTTTGTTTTTAAATCATCTCTACGACACTATACACATAGTATACGCATACACATCAATAGCAGCCATCGATCGGATCGTTTTTTGATTTACATCACACTAATACGACATTATATTGCTGAAAGTATCGGGCACTTGGATCCTACCGACATATACACCGCGCACGAGCAGTAAGTACCTACCTACGAATTATTGATATTATTGCGTTATGATGGTGTATTATTATAAGATGTTTAACTTCATCGCCCACCGTTCAAGTCTAATTCACGTTCACGTCCTATATGTACTATGTACCAGGTACCTACTACCTGCATGTACATACAATTATAGGTCGTGCCGGAACTATATACTACACCATAATTAATATACTATATCGTCTATATCAAATGAAAGTATGTAAATAACTTTTTGAAAACTTATTATGAAAACAAAAATAAGTTATACTGCTGTTAGAAATGTGTCATTCCTCATCGCATACGATTAATTAATAAATTCAATTATTTGGAAACTTGAATAAATTTTTTCTTGAATGGCTTGATTCGATCTGTATTAAAATTTAATGAATGTTTTTATACTAATAATATCACTTATAACAACATCATCTTATTTAGTATTATATATCGTMTTTTTACATATTATACTAAGTTATATAAAAGCGTGTTTTCAACAATATTTACTTATGAAATTACCATCAATACTAATCAGAAGAAAATAATATTATTTGCATAATAAAATAAAACATTTTTTTTTTTATTTAAACAGTTAATACATAAAAAAAATCGGGTATTAAAAACAATAATACAACAATTCAATAAAAAATAATACTTAAATGTGCATTGTAAATACTACATTTTAGTCTAAAATTTATCTTATACATGGCAATGAGCATCATTGCACATTTTTACATGTATATTGTTAAGAAACTCAGGCATAATTGGTTTAAAATAATATACTTGAGTACACTTTTTTATTACTTTTAGTAGCTTTAGTACTTATATAAATTATTTTAAACTGTTGTGATTTTTCAGTCATAAGAATCTGAAGGTATTATTTTAAATAATAATTGATTTATAATAATATTAGGAAATTAATAATATGTACCACGTACAGATTGTGTGCACTATACCTATATGTATAATTCCTAATACTGAGCAAGGATCATTTTAGCTAACGACATAACTATATTTACAAGTAGGCCGTTTTTTTATGATTATATTACCTACTCGAAAACTTTCTGTTGTTAAATTGCACATAAAATTCGTGAAAGCAGATACTTGATTATTTTTCTACCATCTGAAGCATATAGTTCTTAACTCTTAAGAGAATCTTTTCAATCTTTGTATACCTAACAAATGTATATCATTTATAATTAGAAATTCAATTATACATTTATACAGTATAATGCTATACCTAGTCGAGTATTGGGTTAACTACCTCAGGGGCACTATATAGTTTATACAAATGAGCATCATGCTTAACTGTGAATAGTAAATCGTATTTAGTTTTTACTGTGAGGCATAAGTCATAAAATTGCCTCTAAGCCCATTAATAATTTCTAACTAAACATTTGTAATATATAGTATAGATTGTCATAATAGGTACTTATAATCATCAAATGTTAACAATACTTTTTAATTAGTTTAATTTTAATATAATATACTAATAATATTATTAAGTATAATTTAATTTACCGTTAGAAATAATAAATCTATTTAAAAACACTTCATACGACAACTACAATGTTTTTTTAATAATAATATGTACGAACTGGATCCTTATACATATTTTTTTTATTTAGAATTTTAAACAATCGAAACACCTAAGTAATGAATATACTGTAATAATACTGTATACAATATAATATATATGTTATACAAATATACAACAACTGTACACGCTGCAGGAAATCAGCAAAACRGCAGAAAATCGAAAGCATATTACCGTGAAAATATATTATACAAAAACAAAATGTAATCTAATTATTATGCTCGTCGTCCACATGCGTTAAAAGAACGAAAATTATACAGTTTATAGTTTTAAAAACTAGCGTATTTTAAATACAAGCCACCGACATTGAATTCCTGAAAACACAACGAGCCTATGTAATATACATATACAGTACACACACTAAGTAGGTTGAATGGAAAACACAATGTTTTTACTCGGTGAATTGGAATCGTTACGAAGTAGGTTGTCCACGGCAGCTGTAAAATACACACAAAAATAATAGTAATTTAATTAAATCGTTTGGCGGCCGTTGTCATTTTTTTCACACCATATTATTTTAGTAGAAACAGCGATTGTCTCGTGTCTCGTCCGTAGAGCAATGGTCCCTTTCAATAACGTGGTCCACGGTCGTACAGTTAAATGGAACCATTGCGATACCTACACAGCTATAATACCTACATGATATTCAGATAGTACCTATAGTAGATAGTACTACCTACCAACTAACATATTATGATGCACATTTGCATGTTATAATACGCGTGGTTAATTATTACACGAACCCAATAAAAGTTTAAATTTTTTGAGGTTAGACCGCCGAACTTAGACGTCCAATTCGGCGTGTAAAAAACATCACGTTCCCACATAATATCGCAGTTCAAATAAGAGCTGAACGAACATCATAATATTATAGCTAATTTATAGGTTAACGTGCGACCTACAGTTGATGACGGTTTTCGAACAAGCAATCAGTGCAAATATCTTAACGTCAATTCACAATGATAATATGCAGTATTATAATACATATTTTTCTGTGTGTGCGTGAACGTTCCATATAGATATAGTTTTTCAGCCACTTTACTGCGTAGTTGAGTTGCGGAAGCGTTCGTAACTCGTGGGCCCAAGACTTGTAACGACGACACATCAAGTGGGTTAAATAGGTCCGTTTGCAAAACCGATTTAATGTTAGTCTTTATTTACACAACAAATAATAGGGCGGCGTAGGAAGTAGTTATAGCAAATAATCGCGTGAAAACGTTTATCCACCGCCAGAATAATATTGTTACGATGTTAAACCCTAATAATATTAGGCTAATATATTATAAGAATTATTTCGTTTCGTATACTTAAACATCGTTCACATTTACCGAATAGACATATGTATACATTGAAAATGACTGAAAGAAGGTTTTAAATTTTCAGCAAACCGCAGACATTTCACATTTGTGAGCCAGTGAGCCCGTATAAAATAGTTATTGTTGTTATATTATTCAGTGATCGTCCGCCGAAGAAAAAAGTGACCCATCCGTGTCTATGTGCTGTTTCGACTGACATTCAAATTCGCGAAAACCCGAAGCACGTACGACCGATTTTATAATTAATTTCAATCGAGAATATACTATTTGATGCATATTATATACCTAGATTTATATTATATTGTTTTGGAGACCACAACGACAACGATGGTGGTGGTTAATTGTAGTAGTCGGATATAACAAGTAAATTTCTAGAGAGAAAAAATCAGATTCTCATTTCTCGCACTGGGTCAATGTCGTCAACGTAGTTGGTTGATTGTATTTATATATATATTTGAATACAATGTATTTCATTAGTATACCTATACCTAATTATAATGTTACTTTTATTTTTTTATTTTTTTTTTTTATAGGTATAATTTGTCGAATATACTAGGAGGTAGGTTATAATATATAGAGACACTGAAAAAGAGAATGTTTTTTTTTTAAATTTATATATTATTGAAATCCGTTTAAGACAATAAATAACAAAATTATGGTCAGTTTTATGTATAATATTATGCGAAACATATTATAATTTTTTTTTTATCTTTAGACGTATTACTGTTAGCCGAATAGATATTTGTCGAGATTCATATTTGTAATGCTAAGTATAATTGATGTAGGTACGCATGTATATTTTGTACATGCGTTCCGCTTTAAATCCTCTTACAATTATGAACGATAGACGACGAATGATATAAAAGAAAAGTACCGTTCATCGAGTTTTACAAGAGAGGTTTAACTCTCCAATTTTTTTAGTCGTATACAGAAATATTTCCGACCTCGCGTATTATAAAAATTTGAATTATTGGAAGGAATCGTATGATATATGAAATATTATATTATTTAAGTAGGTATGCGTAATTCCTATTGTAAGTCAAAATACACGCATAACGCATTACGCATTAAGAAAGTTGCATTGTCAAGTTCAATTGCCGGACATTCAAATGTTAGACTTCATCCAACTATATTATATTAATCATAATAATATAATATAGTAGATATAACGAGATCAACGAATTTATTAAAATTAAAAACTGTTTTTTTCTTTGGAAATGAAAACGTATGTCTTATATTTTTTTATTAAAAATCTTTTTATAGATAACTGGGTCTAGTGAGTATATAATACATATATATATATAGTATATACATCCAGATTCAATTTTATTTAGCTAGAATTGCAATAACTCGTGTCTTGCACGTCATTGCTACATCGTATAAGTGTGAAATAAATTTGCATAGAACAACAAACCAGAATACGTAGTACAATGATATTGTATGTTGGACCTAAAATAATATAATCCTATAAGAAAGTTGCATGTCATAGAGTATTTGCAAGAAAACAAATGTTGACTAGCACGTTTACAGCCCTGTGCGAATAAAGCGTATACCTTCCATCTATACATTAGTGTATTTATTTTCGTGGAAAAAAACACATTCGATAATTCGTTTGACAAAAATGGTAAAAACCGTATAAAAAAATATTGACCGACATAATGATATCGTGTCATTGATATATGCGGCATATGTGCAAATGTACAGGTTTCCCGTAAAACTTGTAAAATATACACGCAAATCGTATGTATAGGCAATAATACTAGTGATGCTTAAGAATACAAAGCAAAATGTTTCAGAAAGAAAACTCAATATTTCGATTTTCGATACAATAATATTATATCATTCGACAATTATTTAAGTATTTCTAATATTTCAATGACAAAAATAAAAGTGTTGGTAAATATCCGGCCGTTGTTTCGCCTATTTAGTATTTTCATCCTTAGCGATCTGCGYGCATAATAGTGTATACCTACGGGCTATGGTGCGGTGTAAAAATAGTGTTATCGAAAATTCGAAATATAACTATATAAGTATTAACTATTATAAGTACCTTCTTGTTCTTATAAAACATCGGAAAAACACGTAAT